TAAATCGGCAGTCAGTCAGACATCCCCCGAGGGGTCCTGAATTGGAGAGGCTGCAGGCTGGGTGAGGAGACCCCTCCCATGCACGAATTTTGTGTACCAAGCCTCTAGTTTGGACATAATCCTATTGTAAGTCCAGGAGCATCTGTAATTCTGATGTGCGGCTAACATTGAGAATCACAGATTTAAAGCTTTGCAACCTACCTGTTCTCTAGGGAGCAGTCCCAATTGGTCCGTATCAGTCGTACTGGAGATCAGATCCTTCCTTGAAAATCTGTTTTGATGACTGAAGAGTCAAGTCACTTGAGTAGGAGATGTAAAAACACAAATGAGGAGCAGCAGTCACCTTTACTTGTCAACCATTGCTCCGTGGACCATGGTGGTCTATGAGGTCCGAAAGGTTGGCTTCAGCTTCTTTAGGGGACATTTAGCTAGAACTGACCTTGCTTGCCTATTTTGCATGTTCCTGTTGTAGGGAGTTTTTCCTTTGATGCAAAAAATCTTGGTAATGGGCTCAAGCTCTGGGAACAGTGCTGGTTGTAGATGTGGCTGCTGTTAGTATCCTGAATTTGCACATTTTTGCTCTCTGTGGGGGCAGTAAGGGGAGAAGATTGTTGTTTTCAGACACTATCAAGATTTATGAAGACCTCCTGGTGAATCCAGGGGAATTGGTGAGGCTGCAAGGACCTGTGGGTTGTATAGGTTCCTGTGGGGAATTGTGGTTTCCTTTTTGTTGTAAGAGTTGTGTGAATTCTAGTAAGACCAGGGCTTCTCTTACTCAAATATAAGAACACATTCCAGAGTTTATTCCATTTCAGTTTGTTCATGCTATTGCTCTTAACGTAGAAATTTCAAAATGGAATATGCATCCCACTAACCTTACTAAACAGTGTTTAGAACATAATAAAACAGTGGCTTGCAGTCATTGAGGCTGTGTGTGCGCCACACACTGGGCTAAAGATTATGTACATTTTTTCCAGTAATCCAGGAATGGGCACCAGACAAGGAGACAAAGACTTAAAAAGGATGACCGAGGTGTCAAGTTGAGAAGTACTTATTTTCAAATGTTTTAAATCCTTTGTGCTTCTTTTCTTGGTAGTGAGATTTTAATTATATCCATTTTTGATGTGCTTTTATGATTTACTACATCTTGGCATTCTCCCTCCCACTAGTTGTATGGAGAAATAATGAACATCACTGTATAAGTTTAAGATGGACAGCATGACGGTTTGATTTACCTGTATTGTGAAGTGATTACCACAGTATGTTCAGCTAACATTTAAAAAAAAATATTTTATTGATTTTGTACAGAGAGGAAGGGAGAGAGAGACAGAGTTAGAAACCTCGATGAGAGTCATCGATCAGCTGCCTCTTGCAAACCCCCTACTGGGGATATGCCCGCAACCAGGGTACATGCCTTTGACCGGAATCGAACCCCGGGACTTTTCAGTCCCCAAGCCGACGCTCTATCCATTGAGCCAAACCGGTTTCGGCCGTTCAGCTAACATTTATCTTATGAATATATTGGCATTGGCAAGAACGGCACCAAGTGTCTGACTGGTGGAGTCTGACCGGAACTGTGTTCAGCAATGTTGGTACTTAAGTTCTGGATAAAAAAGAATTTAGAGTCAAGACTCAAAACTTAGGAGAATACTCATTTAGAAAATCACAGAGGTAGAAGTAGTAATTTGTAGAAGAAATGGGCTTAGGAAACAACGTTATAGAGGCAAAGGAAGGGCCCTGGGAGCTTAGAAGTGAGGAAGACAAAGGCGAGGCGCTTTGGAAGATGGGGAGAGGGAGGAGGAGGGAAGGCGTGGGTGTGCTCCCAGGAGGGAGCATGCTGGGTCCACACCTTAAGGGTTTAAGGGTGGGGTTCTTAGGGGTGGTCCCAGGGGGAAGATTGCAATAGAGTATTCAGCAGCTTTCGAGGTGTGTCCTTCCAGGGTCCTGATCGCCACTGATGGGTGCCAGGGCAGGGGTCAGTAGTCAGTGCACCTGGTCTGGAGGTCAGCCATGGCGTCACCTGTCTGTTTTTGCTGCTTTTCTGGGCCTGGAGCTGACACTGAGGCCTAGATGTTATCTCTAGGGAGGAAAAGTCCATGGGTTGAAACCGAATGACTAGCAAATGACCAGCGATATGAAGTCAGGGGCTCCAAACCACATGACTAGTGATACCTGTGCTAGGGGAGGAAAGGTCACCCTGGGGATGAGGTCTCACACTACAGTTGTCTGTTGCTAGTCACTCAGGGCTTTCTTCCCCGGTGACCGTTAGTATCTAGCTCATGGTCCTTGCTCTGCCTACTACATACAGTAAAAATAAGAATTCCCAGGCTGGTGTGGCTCAGTGCACTGCAGCAGCATCCAAAAGTTGCAGATTCAATCCCTGGTCAGTGTGTATGGCAGGCAACCTATCAATGTTTCTCTTTCTCGCCCCCTCCCTCTCTTTCTCTCTCCCTCTTCCCCTCCCTCCATTCCTTCCCTCTAAACACATGCCTTCAGTTTTTCTCCATTGCCTACCTCTTAATGTCTCAGTCCAGGCCCCCAATCTAGTCCCACTGTCTAATGATCCTTCACACCTTTACCATCTCGACTCTCACAAGCCTTTCCTGCTTCTTATGTCCCAGCTGCATTAGATAAGTGGATGCTGTCTAAAAGCCCTATTTTGACGTGTGTGTGTGTGTGTGTGTGTGTGTGTTTAATTCCAAGTACCCTTTTCTCCTTTCTCAAAATTTATTCTATAGTTGGTAGAATTACATGTGTATTATATAGACAGTGTTTATTAAAATACATTTCATTTTGAAAGTTGAGCTGTCAGTTGTTAAAGTGTGTGGACGTTTTTTGGAGGCATCCTGTATATGAATACCTGTGTATATATGCAGACTTATGCACACATCTCACAAACTGCTCTCCCATCTTTTAGACATATTACCTTGGGAATTAATTACTCAGTCTCTAAACTGGTGTGTTACCTCTGTTAATGAAGTGGGGTTCAAATGGACGGTGGTCTTTGTTTCTGCCTTTTGGAAAGGCCTGGCCTGAACTTAATAATCCGGGAGGAGAAATTATGTGAGAACAATGGGCCTAACTCAGCCAGACCTTTTGTTTCCTAATAGAATTTAAAGAATTTAGATGAGTGGCCAGTTAGCTGGGAAAGGGGGAAAAAGAATTAACATCTGGTCATTTAATCATCTGAAACCCCTATGAGGTAAATAGGGATTTAACAGGTGAGAAAATTGAGGGCTAGAAAGGTTGAGTTATTTGCACAAGATATAAAGCTTATTAGACTCTCTTAGCTTCAGGTTCTCCCACAAACAGAGAAAGCTGAGCAGCAGCGAGTGTTTTTGTCAGCTCTGGTTTCTTTTCTGAACACTGATTATTTTCTAGACTGTAGACTATTTACTCCTAACAGTTTGAGGAAAGAAAGAAAAAAAAGTTTGGTACAGTGAATGTTTTTTTTTTTTTTTTTTAAATATATTTTATTGATTTTTGTACAGAGAGGAAGGGGAGAGATAGAGAGTTAGAAACATCAATGAGAGTCATCGATAAGCTGCCTCTTGCACACCCCCTACTGGGGATATGCCCGCAACCAACGTACATGCTCTTGACCGGAATCGAACCTGGGATCCTTCAGTACCCAAGCCGACGCTCTATCCATTGAGCCAAACTGGTCTCGGCTCAATGAATGTTTTCATCCTAGGGTTTGTTCTTTTCCTTTCTCTCTTGGATAATATTTCTATTTGAACACTACTGAAGTCATAAAAATAACATTTGAGGGAGGGGAGGGAGATCTGGGGGAGATAATAGATCAACCGAAGGACTTGTATACATGCATATAAGTACAACCAATGGACATAAAACTCTGGGGAGGGAGGGAATGGATGGGAGGGAGGGAGGGGGGCAAAAAAAATCAATAAAATATATTAAAATAAAAAAAACTATTGAAACAAACAAACAAAAATAATATTTGGCTTTCTGTTATTATGCTTATTTCCTTAGGATTACAGTGTATTAAGTGTATGCATTGTATTTAAACTAGAAAGAAAGCAAATATTTGTTTGGGAAATAGGAAAGAAATGTAATTCATGGCAGATGAATGCATATTCTTAGTACATTATTTATCATTTTGTGTTTGGAGTATATAATTCAAAATCAAGAATTTCAGTGCCTTGCCTTAAGATGTGGTGGTGATAGCAGTAATAACAAGGTCAGCAACAGCAGTTGTTATCATGTGCATACATGTGTGTTACATTTGTTGTAGACACATTTCTAAGTATTTTACATGCATTAGCTTTTCAAATCCTCTCAATAAACCCCTCAAGTAGTAAGTGTTATTATCTCTATTTTATACACGAGAGATCAGGAAATGTACCTAGACTACACACAGACTTTGCAGTTCTAAATCTGAGTTAATTCAAATTTGTACTGTTCACTTCTTAACTACTTTATTAAGATGCCTCTGAATATGTTGTTTTTCTCCTTTCTTGTGTTTTGGATTCATTGTACTTTTCAAGGGGCATGGAAACATGATCTTCAAAGTAAAAGCGACTAGGCCTAGTGGATCTTATGTAAATCACTTGAATTACTGAGGTATTCTCAAGGAACTAAGGTATTCCTTTCTAAGTTCTTAACAATAATATTTTTAAAGTTCAGGTATGAAAATATTACAGATTCATAAAGATGCTTTAATTTATTCTACAAGGTCATCGAAATGGAAATTTCATGTTTGAATGCTGGCTGGTGGACTAGATTGTTTTTTATTACTGCTGATAAGGATTTTTAAAAGGTTTGGCAGGAATTGGTAAACATCTTTTCTATTTAGCATGCAGTAATACTGGATTCTAAACTTGCATTTTACAAGAAGAAAATTTTGAGTTAATAGGACATGATATTTGTATAAGTTCGAGGAAATTTTTATTGGCTAAGAAATACACTGTGTAATATGTTTTAATGCCTTTATATTAAACTCAGTATTTTTCCTCCTCTTTTTTAGTTCTCCAAAGGACATGGATGAAAATGAAAGCAACCAGTCCCTGATGACAGGCAGCCAATATCCTAAAGAAGTAGTAAGAAAGCGCCAAAATTCTGCACGGGATTCTGGAGGAAGTACTTCTTCTAGGTTTTCCAGGAAGAGTTTCAAACTGGATTACAGACTAGAGGAAGATGTAACGAAATCAGAGAGAGGGAAGGATGGGAGATTTGTTAATCCTTGGCCAACATGGAAAAGTATCTCTATCCCAAGTATTCTCAGATGGCTGATAATGGAAAAGGATCACAGCAGCATTCCGAGTTCCAAAGAGGTAGTGTCTGGCCCTTTCGAGTGCTGTGTATTTACTCGCTACACACACACACACACACACACACACACACACACACACACACACACATATACATAACGTAGCTTTGCTGTGAATTGTATTACGACACTTAGTTGAGCCCCTTTTATGTGATAGAGCAGAGGGCTAGGTTCTGGGGAGTTAAAGTAAAAAAGATGCCCTCAAATTCATGGTTTAACAGTTGAGTACCTATACGAATAACTAGCTTAGCACTGATCTAGTGGCAACTAGAGGTAGGAGCAGAGAACTTTAGAGGTACAAGAAAGGAAACAATTCTCACTGGTGGGGTGGGAAATGGCTTCATGGAGGAAGTGATACTTGACATGGGCCTAGAGAGAGAAAAAGCATTTTGGCAGTGGTTTTCTAGGTGGCAGGGAGAAGGTCACAGAGGTGAGGAAGTGCATGATGTGCTCCAGAAAGGAATAACCTGACGTGTGCTGGGAATGTGTCTTAGGAGGGTTAGGGGGCAGCCCAAGAGGTCTTTGGTTTCTCATCGTTGGATCAAAGAAATCTTCAGATAGCCTTTTCAGAGCTTTAAAAATTGGCAATAAATGATTGGCCTTTACATATGCTGGTGTTACTTAGACTTAAAACTTACTAACATTTGGCATAAGGTTTATTAGCTGAGTCAGATTATACTTTGGCAGGGGTGGGTGGCTCCCAATTACAGTAGCACCTTTTTCTCTTTTCTCCTTTCCCTCTCCTGTGTCCTATCTCCCCTGGCCACTCTTCCATCAACCTCAGGCTTTATGAGGAGTTGAGAGATAAAGAACTTGACGTTGGGAGTGGGGGATGGGTTGAAAGGGGGGGAGCCTGAAGGCTTGATCTGTAGAGGGGAGAGGCAGGAGGGGCAGTGGGAGGAGGAGGGGTGTGGTGGTGGTAAGTATTTTATCTGGCTAGGTGTGACTACTTTTCTTTAAAGGATATGGGATAAAAAACTGACATTGTCATCTTGATGCTAAGGTTCACAGTATTAATCCTAGTAGAGAGAATTGATTAACATGAATATCTTACCAGCACTTTTTAAGAATGAATTAGGACATTAATAGATAAAACCTTGTTCTGTGTTTCAACTTTGAGGATGGGAGGAACAAGAAAAATCTTTTTCTGGAGAACCCCATATGAAGAGAAATAAGAAGCATGGAGTTGAGCTGTGAAGGGTTAGGGCAGGAGGCCAAGATGGGTAGGCTGCGTATTAGGGTAAATTTTTCCTGTTTTTGAGCCATAGCTTGCAAACATACAGAAATAGCAATGATGTATTTAGTTTGATTTCATTTCAGAGAGGAAGGGAGTGGCCCCTTGAAGACAGATGGACATCCCTGCAGTCTAATAATTTGGAGACTCTAGAAACTGTATCGAATCTGAGAACTCGCCAGGCCAGTGGTCCTTAGCCTTTTTGTGGTGTGTGTGTGTGTGTGTGTGTGTGTGTGTGTGTGTGTGTGTGTGTTTAAGCTTTCCCAAACAACTTTATTTTTGGAGAGCAGTTGAAAGATATAAAAAAACAACAATACTGCTCATGTGTTCTCTGAAGCAATTAAATTACTTTATAGCTTCGTGGTCAGTTCACTCAATGGTTCTGGGGAGAAGGAAATGTCTGAAATCACCCCTTGGATTCTCCCTGCTGCTCCAGGCACGCCAATGCAGTGTTCTGTCCGGGGCTTTTCTTGTGGTCTCAGACGCTGCCTCTTGGCCCCTCCCTCCACAACACTGGCCTGTGATGACACAGTGCTGACACGGCTGTGGCCTTTTACCAGCGATGGCTTTGCACAGGGCTATTAGACCTTTGCCCATAATTCAAGGGAAGCTTTCTTCTCCCTTTTATGTAAGAATATGTGAGAAAATGCCCAATTCCTTAACTTTTTTAAGGGAGGAATAGCCTCTCCGTGTCTTCTCAGGTCATTCATCCTTTTCTCTCCTCACTAGCTCAGGTGTCCAGGCTCCCTCCTTACAGTAATGAGAGGGAATAGCTCTTCTCTCATTAACCCTGCCATATTACGTCAAGAAGAGCTCACATTCTCTGATTGGTACGGAAATATCCTGGATATATCCCACGAGAACAGTACCCCATATAATTGATCCCCATAGAAGACAAATTTAGTTTCCTAACATACCTAATCAGTCTCCTTGTCAATCTCCTCATGGCCCTCAGGGTTTCTTCGAGTCTCACTCTCGCTTTCAAGCACATCAGCTCCACCAGAAAGCACACTGTCATTTAGAAGTATTGTATCTACTTAGCCAAGCAGGTGGCCGTATATATACTCTGTTCTGGCTGGGACACCTATCCAGATACTGGCCCCTTTTGAAAATCTGATGAAAGCTGTGGATCCTCCTCTTAGAGAAATATGCACATCCACATAATCACATTGCCTTTTACTATAACTTTAGGGAGTTTTTGGATCCTTTCAAGTCAGCCCATTTACTCATTTATTCATTCATTCATTTAATGAGTACATATTGAGCCAGTGTCCAATAACTAAAGAAATCTCTAGGATCGAGAAGTAGAGCAATGAACAAAGCAGACACACACCCTTGGCTGCTTTGGACCTGAGGTGTAGTGGACGAGAGAGACCGTAGACAAGTGAGTAAATTCTGTGGAATATTAAAAGTGATTAGATTCTGAGGAATAATAAAGCAGAGAAGGAAGGGTGATGGACGTGGGAATTACATTTTAAAAATATTTTTATTGATTTCAGAGAGGAAGGGAGAGGGCTAGAGAGAGAGAAACATCAATGATGAGAGAGAATCATCGATTGGCTGCCTCTGGCACATCCCAAACTGGGGGGTCAAGCCCGCATATGTCCCACCTGGGAATCAAACTGTGACCTCCTGGTTCATAGGTCGACGCTCAACCACTGAGCCATGCCGGCTGGGTGAGTTACGTTCTTTAATGAAGGGTAAGTTTTTGTTTGTTTTTAAGTCAGAAGATTTTCTTTTTAAAGAAAAGGTGAAAGTAGGTCTCAATCTGTACCACTTAAATATGCGTCATGTAAAAGGAGAAAAAAGACACTTTTTTGCCCTATTCCAATTTATATTTTATTTCTTATCTCTTACCTGTATTTTGTTCCAATAAAAGCCTAGAACCAGGTCAAATGCATGTTGTTATTTTCATAGATTAACTAATTCCATATTTAATCCTTTTAAATTGCCAAAATTATTAATTTTTTTTTACCAACTCCTAAATCTGATAGAGTCAGACATTTTCTGGAAAAACAAAACAAAACATATTAAGATCCATGTAAAGAACACCTGCTTCAGATTATTAGGTGATTTTAGAATTTAATCTCATCTCTGGGAGTTGTTTTTGTTAGGCATTGGGAGGCTAGAGTTTAATAAAATACAACTTTTATAGAAACAGTCTCTTAGATGCAGAGAACAAACTGATGGTTGCCAGATGGGGGACTGGGTGAAAAAGGTGAAGGGATTAAGGAGTACATATTGGTAATTAAAAATAGTCGCTGGTTTGTGAAGTACAGCCTGTAATCATTCAGTAATGTTGTATTATCTGTGTATGATGCCAGATGGGTGCTTGAGTTTTCAGGGGGATTTTATGATCTGTGCCAGGTTATAATTACTATATATTATGCAATAGATATATAAATATGAAAGTGTTTTGGAAGAAATATGATTAAAGTATAAAATAACTAATAGAACCCTAGCAAGGGGCCACTAGCAGAGCTGCACAATTTAGTTGCAATCTCAGAGAACAGCATGTGTTTTTTTAACTTTGAAGATCAGATCTATTTGGAGAAGAAGGACCCCCATACCTCAAAAAGTGGGATTCACATATCACTACATCTCCCAATTATTAAGTCTACAGATTACAAATCATTTTCAAAGACAATAGTTTTGGACAAGTTTTACATGTTGAATGGGACATACATTATTTTCTTTTTTTTTTTTTTAAATCAAAAGTATTTTATCAGAATCATTTTTTTCTGTGAAATCTGAATACATATTTTTTTTTAGTTTTTTTTTTAATTGTTTAAAGTTTTACATATGTCTCCTTTTGTGTCTGTTTTAATAAGTTTCTGTCCTTGGACAGTTCCTGACATTTGGCCTTTTGGGGTCTTTAGAGCATTGTGCAGGGCACAGGCCTGGCATTGTTCAGACGCTGTCACTGCTGGGAGCGGTTGCCGGTGGCTCAGTGACTTGCCCGATTGTTACGGTCACCCGCAGTCAGGGGGAAAGAGACCGTTAGAGAATCTCAGAGAGGGAGGAGACAGGCACCGGCGCAGGAGGCCGTCCTTACCCATTACTGCCATGGCAGTGAGCAGGGGACTGTCCGTTGGAGCGTGAGAGGCGCAGAACCGAGGCTGCACCGCAGGGCGGGTTGGAAAGTGGGACACCGGGGTTGGATTGCGGAAACCAGACTCCAGCCCAAGGTTTATCCGGTGTGGGACCTTGTTTCTGTCAGTCCCTCAAGGAGCTCCTTTTCTTATTTTGTCTATGAAGTTGGATAAGACCGTGTAGGTCACTGCAGTTGTTCTTTGGTCACCTGACACATGGAAATACTTTGAAAATATAATCTTTGGCTGTTATGATAATGAAGAATAGGGTGCCCGTTGGGAAAATTAAACATACCAGTTATTTTCTATTTATCCCATAATATGTGAACAGGTGCTTTTTATTTCTATGAAGAGAATAAACATATGAATTCAGTTTCTAAAAAGTTGTAGTACTGAAAGGCTTCTTAGACAAATACCAGTCTCCTAACCAGTCCCTGCTTCTTCATCACTATCCCCAGAGTCAACAACTGTCAACCCTTTCCTCTGGAGTTTGCCTTTAGATTTATTTCAATTTTGTTGTGGTAAGAACACTTGACATGAGGTCTAGCTTGGATTTTTAAGTGTCCCTTGCAGTTGACTGTAGGCACAGTTCTGTACAGTCGTCTCTGGAGCTTCATTTTGCTTAACTGAGACTTAGTGCCCATTGATAGCAGCCCCACTTCCCTCTCCCTCCAGGCC